TTAAAACTTTTCTCAAAATAATATTAAAAAGTTAGAGAAGCATTAATTATACTTTTATTCTAGACAAAGTTAGATCACATAAACTTTCCTTGCCGACACACTCAGCAGAACAACTTACCTCCAACACTACTGGCAACACAACACCTTAACACTGTGTTGCTTCTGCTTCTACTGAACATTATTACAGACAACAAGTAAACCATCACAAGACACTCAGCCCAGGATCAGGTCTTGTTCAGCCTTGTTAACAAGTCTTGATAACTTTAAACACCTTTTATAACTCACTAATGTCACCTGGACCTTTTATATTTTATCCGTGTTTAGATTATCCCAGATTTTGATACAATAAATGGCTGAACAGTTTGTCAAAGATTTGCTAATTTTTGGACTTACACGATGAAGGAAATATTACAGTATTTACAAAAGGTTTCAGTACCTATAATATTATCTTTTCAAATAAGGAACAACAAACTCAGTTGTGGGTCAAAATATACTTTTATTTAACCTCAATTAACATAAAACAAATTAACATTAAAAATCGTATTTGGTCTGAGGAAGACAAGTGAGGAAGACACTGTGGCAGGTTGGTGTGTGGTTGTTGTCAGGTCCTCAGTGGTAGCCATAAGATGGTTGTGGGCAGACGGTCTGGTAGGTCTGCTTGGTCTTGGTCACCGTGTGGTACTCTGGTACCTGTTTGGTCTGGTACTGGGTGTGGTACTGGACCTGGGTCGTGGTCACATAGTGTGGCACATAGTTAGTACTATACACGGTCTGGTACTGGGACGTGGTGTGGTACTGTGTCTGGTACTGGTTCTTGGTGACGTAGGTTGGGACGTACTGGGTAGTGGTAGCATAATGGGGTTGGTACTTGGTCTCGTATTTGGTCTCGTAGTGAGGTACGTGCTCGTCCTTGGTCTCGTAGACGGTCTTAGTTTCGTACTTGGGAACGTACTTTGTGTGGTAGTCGTTCTGGTACTGAGTCTTGTACACTGTGTGGTAGACGGTGGTAGGGACGACATGTTCCTTGTAGACAGTGTGGTAGACCGGCACCTGTAACAACACCACAAACACCGCCATTAACACCACCTGACACACCAACACAATGTCAACAAACTGTGCACTTATGCCTTTATAAACTCTAAGTTATCCTCATCTCCATCTCATACCATTTCATTCTTCTCAAAAGTATCGTAAGTTCATCCTCTCGTATTGTCACTAAGTTGGGATTATTTACCAGGAAGGATCATTAAAATACGATAAATTAATAACAATGGTAACTATAAGGTGACTCTAGACCCAACATGGCTGACGACTGTTGTGTGTACACAACATTTAGTTAATTAGAATGTGTTAACAAAGGTGAACTAATGTGTCAATAACTGCCTAAGATCTTTTATAGTTGAGATAAACCAAACACGAGAACACGAGACACTCAGTACTGACCTTCTGGTAGTGGGTGACGTAGTGAGGTTTGTAGTGCACCCGCGGGTGACATCTTCCTTTACCAAACTTGAAGCCTGGCTCAGCCACCGCCGCCGCCACCACAGCCAGCACCACCACAGCCACTCTACCACACATGTTCTGCCACAACAACACAATACATACATTAGTGTTTCTCTTCCCTACTGTGTTGTGTCGGTGAGTTTCACCAAGAGGTTTTATCTCTTGTTTACAAAGTGTAATTCACCTGAAGGTTACGAGCGTGTACAACCATTAAGTTTGTTCTTCTGCCCAGCTGAAGAACACTGTTATAGGGAGAACAATACCTCAGTATACTCCATGTATGGTTGTATAAGTTGTATATCAGTGAGTTGTTTACCTGGGCAGTTGTTCCTCTGGGAGTCTCAGCAAGAGAGTGATGTTGAAAGCTGCGCCGCGCTGTTTATATACCGGAGATCCCACTACTGCCTACATGTACACATACATACATACATACATACATACATGCATACATACATACATACATACATACATACATACATACATACATACATACCTGTACATACATACATACATACATACATACATACATACATACATACATATCTGTACATACATACATACATACATACATACATAGACACATACATGGCTGTCTCTCACCTGCCCTTTGAATCAGATAATTAGAGAAGTAGAGAGAGAGAAATATATTTAGATAGACAGGAAGACGTCAAGGAGACTATAGAAAGATAGATGGATATATAGATAAGTGTAATATGTACAGTATCTTATCACTAAAGTATTAATGAATGAAAATATTGATAATGAAAGAGAGAGAGAGAGAGAGAGAGAGAGAGAGAGAGAGAGAGAGAGAGAGAAACATTCACAATGAGAACTTCTGAACTTTCTCACCAGTCAATATTTCTTTAAGTAAACAAACCGCGCTTGGCTTATCTTGGGGTGCGCCTCTCCTCCTTCTTCCTCCTCCTCCTTTTATTTCCTCCTCTTATTCTCATTCTCCTTCTCCTCTTACCCTGTCCTTTAGCCACGAATCCTCCTCTTCCTCTTCCCCTCTTTCCCTCATCTCCTTCCCTTCCCTTTCACTCCTCCTCCTCCATCCCCCCTTCCCTTCCCTCTCTCTTCCCTCCCTCCTCCTCCCATCCCCTTCACGCCCTTTCCTTATTCACGCCCTTTGACTTATACAAACTATGAGAGAAACTAATGATGATTTTTCTAGTGACTGATCTGAAATAACACTCAAACGGGAGGTCATTGTTTTCTGGTACAGCTTGAGTGTGTCGGGGTACAGCTTGAGTGTTTCGGAGTACAGCTTGAGTGTTTCGGAGTACAGCTTGAGTGTGTCGGGGTACAGCTTGAGTGTTTCGGAGTATAGCTTGAGTGTTTCGGAGTACAGCTTGAGTGTGTTGGTGTACAGCTTGAGTGTGTTGGTGTACAGTTTGAGTGTGTCGATGTATAACTCTGGTATTTATACATCATTCACTCAGTACCTCCCCACACACACACACACACACACACACACACCTTAATTTCATTTATAAGTGAGATGTACACAGAAATTAGAGTAATCTTTTCTCACTCCATCTTCATTTTTTCTCAGTCAGTCCCTCCCTCTACAGTCACTCCCTCCCTCTGCAGTCACTCCCTCCTTCTGCAGTCAATCCCTCCCTCTGCAGTCAATCCCTCCCTCTGCAGTCAATCCCTCCCTCTGTAGTCACTCCCTCCCTCTGCAGTCCTCCCTCCTCTGCAGTCAATCCCTCCCTCTACAGTCAATCCCCTCCCTCTACAGTCAATCCTCCTCTGCAGTCAATCCCTCCCTCTACAGTCCTCCCTCCTCTGCAGTCCTCCTCCTCTGCAGCCAATCCCTCCCTCTACAGTCAATCCCTCCCTCTGCAGTCAATCCCTCCCCTCAGTCACTCCCTCCCTCTGCAGTCAATCCTCCCTCTGCAGTCCTCCCTCCCTCTACAATCCTCCCCTCCCTCTACAGTCACTCCCTCCCTCTGCAGTCAATCCCTCCCTCTGCAGTCAATCCCTCCCTCTGCAGTCAATCCCTCCCTCTACAGTCACTCCCTCCCTCTACAGTCACTCCCTCCCTCTGCAGTCACTCCCTCCCTCTGCAGTCAATCCCTCCCTCTGGTGTAATAGACATGTTATAATAATAAAATAAAAAAAGGAAGAAATTATGTATCGAAATTTTGACTCAGAAACGAAGATATTAGAGTAAATTTGTTTTTTCTCGTGTTGTTGTGGATTGCTTGTTATGTTTACATCTGTAGACCAAGGGACTACACACTCAAACCATACGAGCCTAAAATATTTACATATTAACCCATAAATATCAGTGAGAATAACCCAGCGCCTTTTAACACAGACAGGTGTAGTAATAACAGGTATGAATCCTTAATTTGTAACCGAAGAACGTTTTCACCTCCACACCTTCACTTTTCACGTAGATTATTGGTAATTTACGCTTCACATCGCTCTAGTTGTTGTCTTGGTACATTCCTAAATCAACACAGGTCATTGTTAGGTTCTGTAAACGTTATGGTGGTCGTCATGGAAACGGAATATCCATTATTTTCATCTTACTTACAATTATTATTTATTTTTTTTAGGAATTTAAATCATTCTGTCACTTCATATTGTGTTTAAATCTTCTTTATATATATACGAATAACCATAAAAATCAAATAAAAAAAAACATGAACAATTATATAGATGCATAATTAAATAAAAACAAACTCAAACATACGCAGCAAGACCTCAAACATAAACAAACAAACACACATACAAAGTAGTGAGTCTTGTTTACAAAGGTGACGTCACAACATCATCACCTCCGAACAGATTACCTTTTCTTACCTTTAAACAGTAGATTACATTAATTACCTTATTTACCTGCCAAAACGATACGAAAAAGGTAAAAACAGAGAGATTTAGTAATGTATCTCACCTGGGTATGTTAATTACGCTGTTAATTAATGTGTACAGGTGTAAAGACGTATTATAAATTTGTTAGGTAGGTGTTAATAAGAAATAGGGAGATATAATGATAAGAAAATAGGTGACTTACCTTAAGAAATAGGAAAAGTAAATAGCAGTAAAATTTAAGTAATATATATAAATAGTATACTTATAATAAAACAAATAGAAAGACAAATTAATATAAAACAGAATATATATTTTTTTGGCATTAAGAATGATAACAAATTGCGACCAGGCAAAGGGCGCCAAGAGATCAATAGTATAAATATCTTTGTCAAAAAAAATGGAAAATTGGGTAAAACTTAAAGACAAAAGAAAGAAGATAATATACAAGTGATAAAAGAATTATTTATTATAATTTTATCAGGTTAATGATACCAATTTATAATAATTTATATGTGTTTTTCAGAAGTGTTAAAAATGTATGTATGTATGTATGTATGTGTATGTATGTATGAATGTATGTATGTATGTATGTGTACATGTAGGCAGTAGTGGGATCTCCGGTATATAAACAGCGCGGCGCAGCTTTCAACATCACTCTCTTGCTTAGACTCCCAGAGGAACAACTGCCCAGGTAAACAACTCACTGATATACAACTTATACAACCATACATGGAGTATACTGAGGTATTGTTCTCCCTATAACAGTGTTCTTCAGCTGGGCAGAAGAACAAACTTAATGGTTGTACACGCTCGTAACCTTCAGGTGAATTACACTTTGTAAACACGAGATAAAACCTCTTGGTGAAACTCACCGACACAACACAGTAGGGAAGAGAAACACTAATGTATGTATTGTGTTGTTGTGGCAGAACATGTGTGGTAGAGTGGCTGTGGTGGTGCTGGCTGTGGTGGCGGCGGTGGTGGCTGAGCCAGGCTTCAAGTTTGGTAAAGGAAGATGTCACCCGCGGGTGCACTACAAACCTCACTACGTCACACACTACCAGAAGGTCAGTACTGAGTGTCTCGTGTTCTCGTGTTTGGTTTATCTCAACTATAAAAGATCTTAGGCAGTTATTGACACATTAGTTCACCTTTGTTAACACATTCTAATTAACTAAATGTTGTGTACACACAACAGTCGTCAGCCATGTTGGGTCTAGAGTCACCTTATAGTTACCATTGTTATTAATTTATCGTATTTTAATGATCCTTCCTGGTAAATAATCCCAACTTAGTGACAATACGAGAGGATGAACTTACGATACTTTTTGAGAAGAATGAAATGGTATGAGATGGAGATGAGGATAACTTAGAGTTTTATAAAGGCATAAGTGTACAGTTTGTTGACATTGTGTTGGTGTGTCAGGTGGTGTTAATGGCGGTGTTTGTGGTGTTGTTACAGGTGCCGGTCTACCACACTGTCTACAAGGAACATGTCGTCCCTACCACCATCTACCACACAGTGTACAAGACACAGTACCAGAACGACTACCACACAAAGTACGTTCCCAAGTACGAAACTAAGACCGTCTACGAGACCAAGGACGAGCGCGTACCTCACTACGAGACCAAATACGAGACCAAGTACCAACCCCATTATGCTACCACTACCCAGTACGTTCAAACCTACGTCACCAAGAACCAGTACCAGACACAGTACCACACCACGTCCCAGTACCAGACCGTGTATAGTACTAACTATGTGCCACACTATGTGACCACGACCCAGGTCCAGTACCACACCCAGTACCAGACCAAACAGGTACCAGAGTACCACACGGTGACCAAGACCAAGCAGACCTACCAGACCGTCTGCCCACAACCATCTTATGGCTACCACTGAGGACCTGACAACAACCACACACCAACCTGCCACAGTGTCTTCCTCACTTGTCTTCCTCAGACCAAATACGATTTTTAATGTTAATTTGTTTTATGTTAATTGAGGTTAAATAAAAGTATATTTTGACCCACAACTGAGTTTGTTGTTCCTTATTTGAAAAGATAATATTATAGGTACTGAAACCTTTTGTAAATACTGTAATATTTCCTTCATCGTGTAAGTCCAAAAATTAGCAAATCTTTGACAAACTGTTCAGCCATTTATTGTATCAAAATCTGGGATAATCTAAACACGGATAAAATATAAAAGGTCCAGGTGACATTAGTGAGTTATAAAAGGTGTTTAAAGTTATCAAGACTTGTTAACAAGGCTGAACAAGACCTGATCCTGGGCTGAGTGTCTTGTGATGGTTTACTTGTTGTCTGTAATAATGTTCAGTAGAAGCAGAAGCAACACAGTGTTAAGGTGTTGTGTTGCCAGTAGTGTTGGAGGTAAGTTGTTCTGCTGAGTGTGTCGGCAAGGAAAGTTTATGTGATCTAACTTTGTCTAGAATAAAAGTATAATTAATGCTTCTCTAACTTTTTAATATTATTTTGAGAAAAGTTTTAACTAAATCTTTATTATAAAACTTAAACCACCAATTACGTCACAGAGACGAGACCAATAATATTATTGTTAAGATAAAACATTAGTTTTAGTTATAATAATTAAGGATTAAATTTGTAAGGCAGAAAGTACAGTTATAAATATTTGAGCCTCTTGTGACAACCGTTGACCAAACATTTACCTTCCATCGTTAATGTCACACCTGTCTCCTACCCGTCACACCTGTCTCCTTCCCGTCACACCTGCCACCTGCCCGTCACACCTTTTTCCTATGCGTCACACGTGCCTCCTACCCGTCACTCCTGTCTCCTGCCCGTCACACCTGTCTCTTGCCCCTCACACCTGCCTCCTGTCCATCACACCTGTCTCCTGCCCGTCACACCTGCCTCCTACCAGTCATATCTGCCTCCTGCCCATCACACCCTTTTCCTATCCATCACACCTGCCTCCTGCCCGTCACACTTGCCTCCTGTCCATCACACCTGCCTCCTTCCCGTCACACCTGCCTCCTGTCCATCACACCTGTCTCCTACCCATTACACCTGCTTCCTACTCGTAACACCTGTCTCCTGCCCGTCATACCTGTCTCATGCCCGTCACACCTGCTTCCTGTCCATCACACCTTTCTCATGCCCGTCACACCTGTCTCCTACCCGTCACACCTGCCTCCTGTCTGTCACACCTATCTCCTGTCCATCACACCTGTCTCCTACCCATCACACCTGCCTCCTACCCGTCACACCTGTCTCATGCCCGTCACACCTGCTTCCTGTCAAATCACACCTGTTTCCTGCCCGTCACACCTGTCTCCTACCCGTCATAACCGGCCACAATACCCGGTTAACATTATAAATCTTTCATTATTATCACCTTAATTTAACCCAACACTTACAGTAGTTGTTGACGACACACACACACCCACACACACACACACACACACACACACACACACACACACACACACACACACACACACACACACACACACACACTCACACACACACACACACAAAGCCTCAAATAATGAACAAAATATTCAAATATAAAATCGTGTAGAGTTTGTTCAGCCATCTTGATCTTATAAATAGTAAGTTAGAATTATAAGTAAGTTAAGTGTAAGTTAAGTGAGATAAAGTATCTTAGTAATACTGTTAGTCTCCTGCAGGTGAGAGACAAGGAACTAGTAGAGATTATTGATGAGAGATAGAGAAGAAAATAGGAAGGTTTCGTTAATGAGAAATAACGAGAGAGACTACAGAAGAGGACGTGATAAATATGGAATATAGTTATGGGAAATAGGGAAATAAATAAGAAGGTTTCGTAAAAATATGTAAAATAGGGAAAATTTATTCGTGGAACTTTTAAATGGGGGAAAAGATATTGATAGGTATTGTAAATAATAAATAATAATACAAGAATAGATACAAAATAGGTGTAAAAATGTAAATTAAATAATAAAATAAATAGCTTATTATCCTAAATAACAAATAGGAAGAAACAAAATAGTGAAGAATTAAAAAACAAAAGAGCAGAGGTAAACAACATGGATCAACTACCGGATAAAACAAGGGATCGATAATATAAAAAAATACTTTGTTAAAAAATGAAAAAAGACAAATAATAAAGACAAGAGAAAGAAAAATACACAAGTGATGAAAAGTATAATTATTTTTATTAGATTATTGTTACTAAAATATTTATAACTTATTGATTTTGTTTTTGTGTATTGGATAAAATTAGATTTTAAAAGACTAGATTGACCCATTCACTCTGAAGAGATGATTTTAATGTATTTATGTATGTATGTATGCATGTATGTATGTATGTATGTATGTGTACATGTAGGCAGTAGTGGGATCTCCGGTATATAAACAGCGCGGCGCAGCTTTCAACATCACTCTCTTGCTCAGACTCCCAGAGGAACAACTGCCCAGGTAAACAACTCACTGATATACAACTTATACAACCATACATGGAGTATACTGAGGTATTGTTCTCCCTATAACAGTGTTCTTCAGCTGGGCAGAAGAACAAACTTAATGGTTGTACACGCTCGTAACCTTCAGGTGAATTACACTTTGTAAACACGAGATAAAACCTCTTGGTGAAACTCACCGACACAACACAGTAGGGAAGAGAAACACTAATGTATGTATTGTGTTGTTGTGGCAGAACATGTGTGGTAGAGTGGCTGTGGTGGTGCTGGCTGTGGTGGCGGCGGTGGTGGCTGAGCCAGGCTTCAAGTTTGGTAAAGGAAGATGTCACCCGCGGGTGCACTACAAACCTCACTACGTCACACACTACCAGAAGGTCAGTACTGAGTGTCTCGTGTTCTCGTGTTTGGTTTATCTCAACTATAAAAGATCTTAGGCAGTTATTGACACATTAGTTCACCTTTGTTAACACATTCTAATTAACTAAATGTTGTGTACACACAACAGTCGTCAGCCATGTTGGGTCTAGAGTCACCTTATAGTTACCATTGTTATTAATTTATCGTATTTTAATGATCCTTCCTGGTAAATAATCCCAACTTAGTGACAATACGAGAGGATGAACTTACGATACTTTTGAGAAGAATGAAATGGTATGAGATGGAGATGAGGATAACTTAGAGTTTTATAAAGGCATCAGTGCACAGTTTGTTGACATTGTGTTGGTGTGTCAGGTGGTGCTAATGGCGGTGTTTGTGGTGTTGTTACAGGTGCCGGTCTACCACACTGTCTACAAGGAACATGTCGTCCCTACCACCATCTACCACACTGAATACGAGACGCAGTACCAGGACGACCACCACACAAAGTACGTTCCCAAGTACGAAACTAAGACCGTCTACGAGACCAAGGACGAGCACGTACCTCACTACGAGACCAAATACGAGACCAAGTACCAACCCCATTATGCTACCACTACCCAGTACGTCCCAACCTACGTCACCAAGAACCAGTACCAGACACAGTACCACACCACGTCCCAGTACCAGACCGTGTATAGTACTAACTATGTGCCACACTATGTGACCATTACACAGGTCCAGTACCACACCCAGTACCAGACCAAACAGGTACCAGAGTACCACACGGTGACCAAGACCAAGCAGACCTACCAGACCGTCTGCCCACAACCATCTTATGGCTACCACTGAGGACCTGACAACAACCACACACCAACCTGCCACAGTGTCTTCCTCACTTGTCTTCCTCAGACCAAATACGATTTTTAATGTTAATTTGTTTTATGTTAATTGATGTTAAATAAATATATATTTTGACCCCATAACTGTGTGTAATGTTTGTTATAAGAATTTACAACATTATAATTCCTAAAACATATTTATAATCATGTTATACATCGAAATTTTAACACAAACATTTTGATAATATACAATAAGATAGACAACTAACAATATAACTTACATCATATTAATTAAGGAACCGATTAAAATTAGGAACACCTGTAAACACCCATTACGGACCGATTAGGCGTGTTATCCATTAAGGACCCATTAGGCGTGGCACCCATTAAAGACCCATTAGGTGAGACACCCATTAAGGACCCATTAGGCGTGGCACCCATTAAAGACCCATTAGGCATGGCACCCATTAAGAACATAAGAACATAAGAATGGAGGCATCTCCAGCGGGCCTATTGGCCCATACTGGGCAGTCCCGTTTACACCCAACCCCTATTGCTCATATACCCATCCAACCTATGTTTGAAGCTATCCAACGTATTCGAGTTCATGATGATGTTTGGTAACTTGTTCCACTCGTCCACTACTCTATTTCCAAACCAGCGTTTACCTATCTTGCGCCTAAATTTAAATTTGTCTAATTTAAAACCATTGTTACGAGTTCGCTCCCGGTTGGATAGTTTGAGTACCTTTGTAATGTCCCCTTTGTTCAGCCCTGACTTCCATATATACACCTCTATCAGGTCGCCCCTCACTCTACGTCTCTCGAGGGAGTGCAAATTAAGATGCTTTAACCTGTCTCTGTACTCAAGGTTCCTAATGCCCGGGATTAGTCTTGTCATTCTCCTCTGAATTCTTTCCAAGGATTCTATATCCATTCTGTAATACGGTGACCAGAACTGAACTGAGTAATCCAAGTGAGGTCTCACAAGCGCAAGATATAGTCTTAAGATGACCTCACTAGTCTTGTAACTAACACTCCTGTATATGAACCCAAGTACTCTATTAGCGTTGTTACGAGCAAAAACACATTGTTTACTTGGCTTAAGATTCCTACTTATCATTACTCCTAAATCTTTCTCGCAGTCGGATTTCTCAATAACATCGTTGTTCATCTGGTATCTGGTTTCCCTGTTTACGTCTCCTATACTGAGTACTTTTACATTTGTCCACATTGAATCTCATCTGCATTTTTCAGACCATTCGAAAAATTTGTTTAGATCTTCCTGTAGTTTTGCGGAGTCATCGTCAGATTTAATTACACTCCCTATTTTAGTGTCATCAGCAAATTTACTTATGTTGCTGTCTATGCCGATATCTATGTCGTTTATGTATATAATAAATAATAATGGTCCAAGTACTGAGCCCTGGGGAACTCCACTAGTGACGTTGCTCCAATGGGATTTAGTGCCGTTAATGCTCACTCGCTGTTTCCTGTCCTGTAACCACGCCCTAATCCATTTAAGGATGTTACCCTTGATGCCATGTGCTTCTACCTTTCTAATTAGTCTTTCTTGGGGGACTCTGTCGAAGGCTTTGCTAAAGTCGAGATATACCACATCATAATTGTGCCCCTCGTCCACTGAATCGAAAACAGATGAAAAGAAGGTTAATAGATTAGTTAGACATGAACGCCCGCTTGTGAAGCCATGTTGGGAATCATTGATCAACTTGTGTTTCTCCAGGCGTGGCACCCATTAAGGACCCATTAGGCGTGGCACACCACCTGACCCATCACTAAACAATTCCACAGGTGTTGATGTTGAAGCTCACCTGATGCACTGCAAGGTCACATTACCATCTCTCTCTCTCTCTCTCTCTCTCTCTCTCTCTCTCTCTGGTTTATGGATGCAGCTCCTCTCTTACATAATCTAGGTCATAGTTAACGAGAGTAATTGCAGAACTGTCCTAAATACTAATGAGCAATGACAACAACAGGTAAAGGTTATGATGGTGATTTGCTGGGGATAATAACATGTTGTTTTGAGTTATGGTCATGAGGAGTTGTAGAGGATGATTGATTATATTCTCTTGTTGGTAGGATTTTAGGAAGGATGATTTTGTTGATTCTGTTGATATTAGTAATAGTAGCAATTTTTTCGACGCTACTACTACTTCTACTACTACTACTACTACTGCTACTACTACTACTACTACTACTACTGTTACACACAAAGTTACATATTTTTCCCCAAGGATAAATACAGACTAAACATACCATACAATGATCGTCATAAAACTCGACCTAGAACACCCTGGGTATAAAAAAAAACCCATGAACCTAGGGGATACGAGCCCATTATATTGACAACTAAAAATTGGCGTTAAAATTTTTTGTTATAATTTAAAAATAGTTATTACTAATATAATTTAGTTAATTCCTATTTATTATGCCAAAATTATTAATAAATTTTTAATATCTTTGATTCTGTTCTAATTTACTAATATTAACTTAAGTAAGAACAAGATCTTTATAAAATCAAGTTAGTATTTTCTTAATGACAATCAAATTATTCCCTAAGTACTTTCTGGCTTCATTATAACATCAAAAAATATCCAATTACATTTATACTATACACATTACAGCATTAGTATACATATAAACGAAAGATATATATTATATGTATTGTACTGTATTACCATGTACTGTATGCGATCACCTCGGGGTAGGAACCGAACTCAGGACGATACGGTGTCATGGTATATAAACACCGCGACGCAACTTTCACCATCAGTACCCTGTCCAGACTTCCAGGGGCGAACAACTCACTGTCCAGGTACACAAAACCATCAATAACACACTTGATAGAACTATAATTACGATATATTGTAACTTGGAGTATCTTGAAGTGTTTTAGATCAAGATAAACAATGGCTAGGTTTGGTTAGGTTAGGTTAGGTTTGGTTTGGTTAGGTTTGGTTAGGTTAGGCTACATTTGGTTAGGTTAAGCTAGATTTAAAGACTAACCCACCTGTTTAATTCCTACCTCTGTATTCCACCTGTCAGAACATGTGTGGTAGTGTGGCTGTGGTGGCTGCGGTGGTGCTGGCTGTGGTGGTGGCTGTGGTGGCTGACCCAGGCTTCAAACTGAAACGCCGGCGATGTCGTCCAGTTGTTCTCCTCATTCCTCAATACTCCAAGATAATAATGAAGGTGAGTGAGTGAGTGAGTGAGTGAGTGAGTGAGGGAGTGAGTGAGTGGGTGAGGGAGTGAGTGAGTGAGGGAGTGAGTGAGTGAGGGAGGGAGTGAGTGAGTGAGTGAGGGGAGTGAGGAGGTGAGGAGGGAGGGAGGAGGAGGGAGGGAGGGAGGAGTGAGTGAGTGTGAGGGAGTGAGTGAGTGAGGGAGTGAGTGAGTGAGTGAGTGAGGGAGTGAGTGAGTGGGGGAGTGAGTGAGTGGGGGAGTGAGTGAGTGAGGGAGTGAGGGAGTGAGTGAGGGTCAGTCATAGTATTACCAGCCCAATAATTCATGATAGGTTAGGTTAGGTTAGATAGGGAGATAACCTTCAGGTCAGGGAGGTACTACCGCCTGGGCAGATATTGGAAGCATAATGTGTTGTCTAATGGTAGACCCTGCTGCCATATGTGACCAAGTCCCAGGTTGATGATCTGACTTTCTGCCTCATTTACACACAATTGCAGGGTCTCAATTGTTTCTCTTACTATTGACAACACAACATACATATATTGTTTCTCACTATTGATTTTTTTTTTCATTTCGTGTTTATTTATGGTCAATTATTATTATTATTATTATTATTATTATTATTATTATTATTATTATTATATTTTCGTCCCCAGGCCCTGGTGTGGGTCAGTGAACTGTGCCCGTAAAGAAAAAAGGTTAGGTTAGGTTAGTTTGTTTACATTGTGTGTTGATCGTGTCAGCAGGTGGTGTTAATGGCTGTGTTTGTGGTGTTACAGATGCCGGTCTACCACACAGTGCACAAAGAACATATCGTCCCAACCACCATCTACCACACTGAGCACAAGACCAAGTACCAGGAGGAGTACCAGACCAAATACATCCCAGAGTACATCACCACGGTCGTCTATGAGACCAAACATGAGTACAAGACCAAGTACGAGACCGAATACGAGACTGAGTACAAACCCCATTACGTCACCACCACTGAGAAAATCCCAACCTACGTCACCGAGACTGAGTACCAGACAGAGTACCATACCACATACGAGTACCATACCGTTTATAGCACTGAATATGTACCCCAATATAAGACCACAACCCAGGTCGAGTATAAGACCCAGTACAAGACCACACAGGTCCCCGAGTACCACACAGTGACCAAGACTGAAGAGGTTTTTAAGACCGTCTGTCCACAACTATCTTACGGCCACTAGCAACAACCACACAACCACACAACCACACACACACGTACACCAGTCTATCACAGTATATTTCTCACTTATACGAGTACTAAGACACCCAGACCACATTATCTTTCTCACTTATTATTATTGACGATATATAAATCTTTTTGTCGAGGGATTTAGCCATTATGTTCCTTGGTGTTAAGACATCTTTCTCACCGAGGCAATTTATGTTTATGTTTTACTTTTCGTCGCGATTTTTTCCCTGACTCTGTATATTAATGTTAAAATAAATAAATAAAATAAATTTATTAATTTTCGTGGATTTTTGTCTTCATTTATTGACCTTCGCTATTGTTATTAAAAGTTAAAATCACACACACACAGACACACAGACACACAGACACACACACACACACAGACACACACACACACACACTGTCATCACTCTAGTAATGAGACTTGGATGACAACAAGAAAAAAATAAAATAAAAATAAAAGTAATCTTTCTTTTTTTTTGTAAATTACTTTTGTTTGAAATATTTAATGGTTTTGTTGGGAACTAATAATAATAACAAGAAGAACAAGAACAACAACAACAACAACAACAACAACAACAACAACAACAACAAACATTAAAATTTACGCCTCCCCCCAAAAAAATAAATACAAAATAATACAAAATAATAATAATAATAATAAAACACAGAAGAAATCACTACTATATAAAACAGCTCCGATTCAAACAATACCGGAAAGAAACAGACCATAAGAGTGCTATTTATTTTCCTATTTATCAAACTAGCTATTACGTGTTGCTATTCTTTTATAACGGAGAGTAGCACCGTGTTAGTTGGTGTAATAAGAGGAACTTGTCAAGATTACCGCCAGACAACACCTACCTTTAGAGAGAGAGAGAGAGAGAGAGAGAGATGTCTGTATGTGTATGTATGTTTATCTGTTTGTGTGTATATCTACAGGCTTGTAGGTTGGTTACATGTTTGTGTGTGTGTGTGTGTGTGTGTTTCTGTCTGAGTATAAGAAAAAATATATATATATATACACACACGACACAACTATTACCTAACATCTAGCTTTTACTGTATTAAGTAACTCAGTGAGCACTAAACACTACAACACATTAAACGCCCACTAACATTACATCAGGTTTGTGGTCACGACAGACGCCCAGTGACCGAGTGTCTGTGTGTGTGTCTTGGGCCTGGCGTCTACTAACATCTAGGTATCTGGTTTTGTTTTTTGTTTTTTTACAGATATTAACCCACCCGGGCACAGGTCACTGACCCACCTCGGGGCCTGGGGGATGAAAATGTAATAATAATAATAATAATAATAATAATAATAATAATAATAATAATAATAATAATAATAATAATAATAATAATAATGATAATAATAATAATAATAATAATAATAATAATAATAATAATAATAATAATAATAATTCATACTAAATAAATTGTATAATAAAAAATAAAAAATTGAAAATAAAATAATAAATTATTAATGATGAGAATAATAATAATAACAACACTGTAATAATAATAATAAAGAATTACAAAAAAAGAAAAAAAAAGAAAAAACGAGAAACAATATATGTATGTTGTGTTGTCAATAGTAAGAGAAACAATTGAGACCCTGCAATTGTGTGTAAATGAGGCAGAAAGTCAGATCATCAACCTGGGACTTGGTCACATATGGCAGCAGGGTCCACCATTAGACAACACATTATGCTTCCAATATCTTCCCAGGCGGTAGTACCTCCCTGTTTGATACCTACTACCTGGGTACCTGTTTACATCACTGTGTTTACCTAAAAAAATTGCCTTATTTATGGGTATTTATTTCCGTTTTTCTGTAATATCAAAGAATCCGGCTTAATCCTCAGTATTTGTTTACGTTTTTCTATAATCCAGAAAAATCCGTCTCAATCCCTCGTACCTGTTTTAAAGCGACGAGTGACGGAGGGTGTCAGGTTGTGAAGCGCCATTGGAGTCATAGCGGCCAGGGTGAAAGTTACAGTAGACTATTAGGGCTGTTATGTCCACTAATGTGTTTCTGTGTTCGGGATATTTGCTGTAATGTGTCTGTTTGTGTCTGTTTGTGTCTGTTTATGTCTGTGTAAAGTGTGTGGTTGTTTCTATTACTCCTCTGTAGTCTTGCAATTATTTCACACACACAGTCACACACCACACACACAGTCACACACCACACACACACACAGCCCTAAAGATACAAAGTTTACCGAAGGAAGTTGTTGGTGGTCTGTGTTTATATTAGACAAAAGTGGAGTTATTTCTACCACCATAGACTAACATGATGCACTGTGAGAGTGATGTTCTCTTTCTCCCTCTCTCCCTCCCTCTCTCTCCCTTGACCTGCCAGTACCTCTCCCTCCCTCTCTCTCCCTTGACCTGCCAGTACCTCTCCCTCCCTCTCTCTCCCTTGACCTGCCAGTACCTCTCCCTCCCTCTCTCTCCCTTGACCTGCCAGTACCTCTCCCTCCCTCTCTCTCCCTTGACCTGCCAGTACCTCTCCCTCCCTCTCTCTCCCTTGACCTGCCAGTACCTCTCCCTCCCTCTCTCTCCCTTGACCTGCCAGTACCATGACTATAGGATTAGTACTATAAATCTACCGAATGTTGATGATGACGCAGCAACAACGCCTCGCAACATTAGCCAATGGCGTAACCAGGTGAACACGTTCTACCCAATCACCTGCGAGGAATGACAGATGACTCGGGTAAGGAGGAAAGGGGATTGGATGGTCTCAGAGTATAAATAGCGTGGAGAGCCCTGTCATCATGTCAGTCGCCAGTCAGGAAGCGTGAAATAAACAACTCCAAGGTAAACAGAAGCTTCTTAGGATATATGTACAGGATTTGTAACTTGTCTTCTTTCTGGTTCTTTTCTCTGTTGTTTTTTGTGAGTTTTGGTTATTGTTGTTTTTCGTATCATTATTATTGGTATTCTCTTTTTTGTTTTATTTCTTCCTCTCTCTCTTCTCCTTTCTCTTCTTCTTCTTCTTCTTCTTCTTCTTCTTCTCTTTCCTTATCTTCTCATTCTCCCTCTCTCTGTCTTCTCCTTCTACCTCTTCTCATCCCTCTCCTTCTTCTCCTTCCTCCTCTTCTTCTCCTTATTCTTCCTCTTCTCCTTCGTTAAAGTCATCCACATCTTCCTCTTCCAAGATTCTGTCAAAACAAACCTCTCTACCGCCTCTGTGTGTTGTTGACATTACTACAGGACCCAAGTTTACCCATACAACATCCCCCCACCCCAAACAAAGCACCAGAGTCACGTGGGTTTGTTTACCATAACACAGAGTTCTCGTGACGTCAGAGCCGTTCGCGTAAGAAGTCATGAATCCATCCATCTTCAGGGTTTGTTTTGATAGATAGTGTCCTTGTGTGAATCGTGTTGATTTTCACTTTTAATTATGGGTGATTAGGGGTGTTTATTGTTTAAAGGTATAGAAATAGAACACAATTCACGAGGGGAAATAAATGTTATATGAGATTTAATGCAGATGAGTTAATGGAGTTTACACACAACGATGTTCTATTGTTTATTTAGCCCAGTGAATGAACAAACCTGTCTGACTCACTGCCTGACCTGCTGACACCCTCGCCTACTCTTGTGAATACGAAGGACTATCAACCATTCTCTTTCCTTGTTGATTCAGATGGTGTCAATGTGTGGACGACTCGTGGTGGTGGTGATGCTGGTGGTGTTGGCGGCGCTGGTGGAGGCTGACCCGACCTACAAGAGGAAAAGGCCCTCCCACTGCTACCCCAAGACCCAGTACGTCACCCACTACCAGACGGAGTACCAGGAGGTCAGTACCGGGGCAGAGTCCAAATATGGGGTACTGGGGGGTTGATTAGTAACTGGGTACATCTAGCTGGTCAGTACCGGGAGAGGAGGATTCCAAGTATGGGGTACTGGGTTCTAGATGAATGAACTGATAGGATATAAATATGAAACACGGATTCATGAGAGCAGGATTGGTACAGGAGGACTCACAGGATAGTATACCATGATAGGTAACATCTAGACTAGGATATAGAGACAAGAAGATTATTATAGCAAGCCAAATTATTATTAGAATCAAAATTATAGAACCAAATTACTATCACTATCAAAATTATTAACCCAAAGTATTAATTTTATAATGATATTGATAAAAGTAATGACAAAACTATGTTATTTTTACCTCCTGGTGATAAGATAACATTACACCTTCCATATTTACAATAAATCTCTATGTTAATTTTATCATCTTAGGAGAAATATTTAAGGTAGAGTCTCAGTGTAATTTTGATGACATTTTGGAATTTAGTGTGTTTGTACGTCTCCATTTACGACTAAAAATTAACTTACGAACATTTTAAGAATCTAGAGTTTAAGGATTATTGTTTTTATTAATTCATTTGATTTTGTGTTTTTTTTATATCTTGTGATCAGGTCCCAGTATACACGACAGTCTACCAGCAACGGGTCGTCCCTACTACCCACTACGTAACCCAGTACCAAACCCAGTACGTGACGAAATACCAAACCGAGTATGTCCCTAGGTACGTCACCGAGACTTCTTACCGAACCCAAGTCCAGTACGTGACCCAATACCAAACCCAATACCAGACTCAGTATCAAACTCAATACGTCACCACCAGCCAATACGTACCAAGTTATGTTACTCAGACTCAATATCAAACCCAGTACGTGACCCAGACCCAGTACACCACCCATTACACCACCCAGTACACACCCCAGTACATTACCACGACTCAAGTGCAATATCAGACCCAATACCAGACCCAAGTGGTCCCTCAGTACGTGACGGTAACACAGACCCAGGAGAATTACGTCACTGACTGTCCTCAACCTTCTTACGGTTACTAGTGACCGCGTCAATCATTGGGTCAAAATGTTTTCCATCTGTGTTATGTTAAAGTCTCCCCTGTTTATGTTGAAATGATCGTTTTCTTTGATGAAACCTAACATATATATAGTTTATATTTTCAACTTTTTATAAATAAAATATCTACTGTTCTACAATAAATATATTATTTTCCAAAAAATTTTGTATTAAATTCATTTTTTATTTTACATAATGACGCTATAATATTGAAAACAAATTATATAAATTAATGATAGTAATTCCTGATTATGTGATACGGAACTTGAATTCTATATGTAAACACGAGTCAAATAACATCTTATATCTATCAAATAAAAAGAAAATCAAACTTAAAGAAAATAATTAACTCAAAACAAGATAAAGGCAGATAAAAAATACAAATAAATAAAATGATATAATGAGCTAAAAGGATTAATTAGTAGTTACTGAATTTGGTGATACGTGACAGAGTCTTGAGTTATGAGTGAGATAATAGACAAGAGAAATAGAGAGAGAGAAAAGGAATAGAGAGACAGAAAGAAAATATAGACAGAGAAAAAGAAAGAAACTAAGAATGAAAACAAAGTAAGAACAATACGTATAAAAACAAAGAATGAGAAAATATACAGAAACTGATATAGAAACAGTGAAATACTAAATAAAGAGAGAGAAAGAGATTCACAGACAGGCCGAGACTGAGGGAAGGGCAGAAACAAGACCATGACAACAATAAAATTTCTGTGGTAAGTAAAATAACATCAGTTTGTGCGTGAGGTCGCCCCCCCCATCCACAACTCGCCCCCACCCCCATCACCACTACTCGCCCCCCACTCTCCCCATCACCACAACTCGCCCCCCCCTCCCCATCACCACTACTCGCCTCCCCACCACCACTATTTATTTTATAACGCCAAGACAAGCCATCCATTTACACATTACACAGTAGGTTGACATTTGCTTGTAGTTGCTCGTTTACCTGAAGAAGTTGCAATGAAACTTAATTGCTTTTCTAATACCTGATGATTGTTTTGTCCACATAACGTCACAACGAAAATATTATTAACTTTATGTCATTTGCTTGATTGCATTTTTTTTTTACGGGGATTAGCCCACCCGGGCACAGGTCACTGACCCACATCAGGGCCTGGGGGCGTAAATGTAATAATAAATAATAATAATAATAATAATAATAATAATAATATTATTATTATTATTATTATTATTATTATTATTATTATTATTATTATTATTATTATTATTATTAAATAAATACACAAACGTAAAAATAAATCAAGAGTGAGAAACGATATACATTATGTATGTTGTGTTGTCAATAGTAAGAGAAACAATTGAGACCCTGCAATTGTGTGTAAATGAGGCAGAAAGTCAGATCATCAACCTGGGACTTGGTCACATATGGCAGCAGGGTCTACCATTAGACAACACATTATGCTTCCAATATCTTCCCAGGCGGTAGTACCTACCTGTTTGATACCTGCTTACTACCTACAAAGAAGTTGCAATGAGCTAATGTCTTTCTCTCTCTCTCTCTCTCTCTCTCTCTCTCTCTCTCTCTCTCTCTGGTTGCAACTGCGAACTCAACATCAACATTATAGAAAAATAAGTTTATTGCGTGTGTGTGTGTGTTGTTGTAATGTTGTAAGAGACAGACAGACACATCTATACTGGACTACAAGAGCTCCTCACATTGGCTCTCACTGTAAACATGAGACTGAGAGTTTGTTACGTCCTATAAGAGGTGGTGTTTGGCTTTGGCTCTACTTACAACACCCGGATTATTAACCATAGGAGATTACACACACAGGCGCTGTATTATACTGTACTAGCCAGGGGTTACAGTCGCTATGTCACTGAACTATTACAGAGGAAATACAGTATATGTGTGTGTGTGTGTGTGTGTTTGTGTGTGTGTGTGTGTGTTCGTGTTTGTGTGTGTGTGTGTATTTGTGTGTGTGATAGAATGCTTTAACACCTGTGGTGTAATGGTCACATGCTCGCCTCTCGCGATGTTCGATCCCCGGCAGGAAACCAGGCACTTTTTACTCCCTTATTTAGCCCCTGCCCCAGCAGCAATTGGAGACCTGGCATCTATTTGCGGGTGTCTGCAGGATGGTTAGCCAGTGCAGTTGGCGAGTTGTCCGATCTTCTCGGACTATTCCTTGACACTGGGTCATGCAACTCGTTAACTCAGGGTGTGGTTGTTGTGTTGGCGACAGCTTCTACACCTTAAACAAATTCACGCCTAGGTGGCCCTTGGGCCGGCCATCCTCGTTACGCGAGGGACAACCATTATTTATATTTTATTTCATTAGTGAAAGGTGAAGATGCGAGTCCATTTATGCTCCACAAACCTGGTAACAACATGATCAGGAAACATGACTCGCCAGGTTTTAAATGTGAAGAGGTTTTTACAGTGAGTTTACCTGCCGTCGCCACCTGTAACTGTACCGCGTCAGGTTCCATATATCAGATTTATATCAATGGTATTTTTTAGTTGATTATGGAGCTTACAGATGCTAGAGTGTAATAGCATATAAGAATGGCACACTTCACCACGACCAAAATATTATAAATTTACCCGTTAACAGATCCATGTAACTGCCGTTTTTTTCATCAATCTGTAACTATGTCTTGTGATGTACAGCTGTCTGTGTCAACACTACCAGATGATTACAAGATGTTTCTGTGTTACGTTTTCTAAGTCAAGTCTTCATTGTCTTCATTATCGAGATGGTCACGAACACACAAGCAGGCTTACTATCAGTGACTACACCCTGATGACTGTAACTCTGTCACATACTAAGTGTCACTCTCGCCCCCATCTGTGAGTTACTGTTATTGTTACTGAATTTTGTAACCGGCTTCAGTAACTAAGTCCTCATGGTCTCCCACCGAGTAACATTCACACTACTCACCTCACCAGCGCTGGGGTACTTAACATGACCCTTGCCACACACATGATTGATAATATTATGCAAGTCAGGCCAGCAACAACAGATACATTTCTTTACTCTTATACTGTCAGCATGACCACGTAAATACATGTAAATTTATACCTGTGACATACCTGACCCACTCACGTCCCCTAACTCCACCAGGTAGACGACATAATGGTTCTGTAACTAGACTGTGAAGCTGAAGTAAGAGTTTTATTCCAAATCAATACGTCTCAACATTACAAAACAACCTCACATGTTACATTTCATTGAGCAACGACTACATACGGTAAATAGACCAAGTATGTGAGTGAGAGAGACAATGTTCGCTTCAATTGGGTCTTATACGCGTTGTGAACCTTACCTTCCCCCTCACCAGGTAATCACCAATTGAATCTGTGTATGTTAGCTCATTAAATAGTAAAATAAACTATGAGTTCTAACAAATCAACTCATTTATTTTTTCTTATCTTCAATATAATTCCCATTCCGTTTTAATTACAGCACAATACACTTTCACTCGTTACTGTACACACAAGTTCATCCCATCGTCTCTGGCTGAGGGACCCGGGAGAATGGTACCACAAATACTGACTCTTTAGCGAGGAGTGAAGCATTAATTCTGCCACCCATGCCTTCATTTCCTGTTTCAGTCTCTTGTCTCGACTCTTCATAAGGATGCAATGGGCTCCAGTACTAATAGATGCCAGTTCTAATAGATCCCCAGGTATAATTGACCCCAGTTCTAATAGGCGTCAATTTTAATACACTCTGATCTTAATAGACTCTAAATCTAATCTAACCTTACAGAGAACACAGTTCACTACACACACAACACCCCTCCCCCACACACACACACACACAAGCTTCCTCCCCCTCCCCTCCACTGTGCCTCCCCCTCCCCTCCTCCGCCCACACAACACCCCACCCCTCCCCCCACACACAGCACCCCACCCTCCCCCTCACCCCAACACCTCCCCTCTCTCCCCCACACACACAACCCTCCCCTCCCCTCCCCCACACACAGCACCCCACCCCTCCCATCCCTGCACAGCACCCCCCCCTCCCCCCACACACCTGTACCCCACCCTCCCCCTCACCTTACCCCTCCCCTCCCCTCCTCCCCACTTTACACAACACCCACCCCCTCCCCCACACACAACACCCCACCCCTCCCCCCCCCTCTCCCCCAACACCCCTCCCCTCTCCCTCCCCCCACCCCCAGCCACCCCTCCCCTCCCCTCCCCACACAACACCCCCCCTCCCTCTCCCCACACCCCAACACCCCCTCCCCCACACAACACCCACCCCTCCCCCACACCTGCCCACCTCCCCTCCCCACCCCTGCCTCCCTCCCCTCCCTTCCCCCCCCACCTTTAACACCCCACCCTCCCCACACACAACACCCCACCCCTCCTCCACACAGCACCCTCCCCTCCCCCACACACAGCCTCCCTCCCCCTCCCTCTCCCCACACACACACAGCACCCACCCCTCCCCCCCACACAACACCACCTCCCCCACACAACACCTCCCCTCCCCTCACAACACCCCTCCCCTCTCCCTCCCCACCCCCCTTGCCTCCCCCTCCCCTCCTCCCCCCCCCCCCTCCCACCTCATCAGACATCACCAAACACCAATCACTCTTACGCAACACCAGAGACTAAGAAACAACAACAAGAAACACTAACATTACGTCAAGGAAACTCAAAAAGAGATAATTGATCAGCTGATGACTCGATGATGATAGAAATTAGTGACAAAAATAGATGACCGGAAGTTGAATTAATTAGAATTGATGGTGTTTTAAGACACTACAGGAGGAAGGTGTTTGTCTGTTTGTCTGTGTTTGTGTTTGTCTGTCTGTCTAGGGAGATTCTTAAGGGTGGGGGGGGGTGGCTAGTCAGTGTCTGTCTGTCAGTCTGTCTGGTGGTATGAGGAAATAGAAAGACGGAAGGATAAATAGAAAGAAAAGAGGAGAAAAACAGAGACATAAAAATGAAGATAAGATTAGTATGGGGACAGACAGACAGACAGACAGACAGACAGACAGACAGACAGACAGACAGACAGACAGACAGACATACAGACAGATAGACAGACAGACAGACAGACAGATAGACAGACAGACAAACAGACAGACAGACAGACAGACAGACAGACAGACAGACAGACAGACAGACAGATAGACAG